AAGTCCAATAACATGACTCAAGTGAAGTAGTGCTACATTTAAGTACTTAAAGAAATGTGAATGTAGTTTTACAGCTAATATGATCTGATGATGATACTCGTAATGTTGGAAATAAGAATGGATTAGTAGGTGCATCAAATACTGGGTCCTCAGGTGGGAACGACCCTTCTTTGATCCTTTGTTGATAAGCTCAGGACATAAGAGGGTTCAGTTGCTCTTCATGGTATTCACAGTGCACCTTCCTCAGTTCCACATGCCACCATTTTCGCCTTTGCGTTCAGTCCAGATTGTATCTAATGGCAAGGATTTGATTGCTTGTTGGAGGAAGTAACTCAACAAACAGATGTGGCAACAACACTTCTACACTGAAAATATTGGTCTTTCAGGTTATGAGGGTCATGACCAACCTCACTTTGTTGCATTTAAATTCTGCTGGGAGACATGAGATCCCTTATTGCAGTTTGCTATACCCACTGTGAGAATTTGGGTATTGTGTAATGATCTGACTTTCCAGCACTTTTTCATAGGTGATTTAATACTAAACCAAAACTACCGCAGTTTGAGTTCTTTTCTAACATATACAGAAAAACTAATTGTATTCTTTTTGACCTGTTCAAACTACTCAGTTTCCTTATACTTTCATGTTTCTCTTGATGTTCACCATGATGTTTTTGTACTTCAGTCAGAGTCTGTGTATCACATTAGACATTTTACAGTTCTATACTCCATACTGCACATTTAAAAAATCGACTGACTGATATAGGTTAGTGTGGCATATTTTTAAAAAAAGATATATGTGTGTGTGTGTGTGTGTGTGTGTGTGTGTGTGTGTGTGTGTGTGTGTGTGTGTGTGTGTGTGTGTGTGTGTGTGTGTTTTCTGTGGAAAGGCCAAAGAGTGAAAATATTTAGTTTAAATTTGAAAAGCTTTAGCGTTATATTACCCCCTCCTTGGGTAAAAGAGAAAATACACACAAATATGGCATGGGGTCATTCAATACATGTCACCATAGAGCAAGACAAACAAAAAGAAACTAAAATAAAAACATCTATCAATAAATTACTCATGTCCAAATGCAGATAGAGCTTCCTTAAATTTTGCAAGACTTAAAATCCCATTCCATCCCATAAAGCACCTTTAAAAACAACAACAGGGCTGACCAAAGTTCTGTACAATAACACAAAACTTAAAAGACAAACACAGGCCAGAAGGTCTAGAAATGTAAAAACTTAGAAGTTAAACAATAAAGGAATAAATCAAAAAGTAACATAAGATCCAATAAAAGAACTACATTCAGATAAATAATGATAACCTGAAAAGCTTCAATATATGAAATGTCTTCATTGCCCTACACCTCTACACCCATACAGATATAAGACTGTCTGATCAAATAACTGTTAGTGACTTTCAACAGATAATCCCAAAAGTCTAGTTTTAGTTAAAACACTAAAGAGCTTTCCTAGCTTGCCCCACTTGTGAATTTGTGTAATGGCATAATTTTTCATAACATTCATGTGGCGAGAATTATCATGTCCTCAAAATGAATCTGTGGGTATTTATCAATAAATAAAGCATCAACCTCCAGATGGCGCAAGAACACACGGTATCATTTCGGAAACCCTCTCACTCCCGTCATGAAAGAAATCCACTAAAGGGTGATTTTCGTTGCTTGGATGGAGAGAGCCTCTGGACCGCTAGGGGTCGTGCTTCACTGGAAAAACACTGGTTTCACTTTTTGGAACTCAACTACTACGTTACTTTGAAGCTGCTGATTGGATGCAGCAGTATGTCTGCCCCTAGTGGCATCATATTGGCTTCGTCTCGTGACGTCATGTTTCAGCATTTCCTCATAGGCTGTGTGACAGGGTCCAACAACACCTCTCATTTGAACCAAGTGGATTTTTCAACGTCTACAAAATAAATCTCAAAAATTCAGAATGACGTGAGCTGATTGGATAAATTATGAGGTGGGGAAATAAAGGGTTATTACTAATTAGTGACCTCCTGTAGTTCACAGTTGAAGCTGAAACAAGGAAATGACTCACGAGGTCGTCAGGACTTTCACGTGAAATGATGAAGCACACACATGCAGCCCACTTTTTCTCTCTCTTTTTTTTCTTCTATCCTTCTATTTTAGGCTGTTTACGGGTACAAGGTGAATGAGATGTAGCTTAGTCAAGAAAACAAAAGTTGGAGTTTCGAAAGAAAAGAGTATTCAGGCAAGCCAAAGGCTGCAGGAGCAATAGCAGGTAGTTGCTGCACCTCTAATCTGACCACTTTGATAAAGCCAGAGTCAGCAGGGTTAGTGTTTTGGCACAAGAACACTGTTGACATTTAACAAAGATAACTTTGTAAAGTGGCCTGAACGCTATGCTGGTTTTGAACACAAATTGCACTAATTTAATAACATGGTATTTATTATTTGTCGTATTATTTCAAGAGAGATAGATTTATTTTATGTATACTTGATAAATTGATGAAAACGCGAGTGTGGATGTTTTTGGAAATTAATTTGCAAAGTTCAGTATTTTTATATAACTTTTAAACGTGGTGCATTTGTTATTTTCCTGCTGCTCTGGATATCTTTTAATGTAAAAGAAATTAAGGGTTTAATTGATATTAACAACATCAAGCAACTTCCTTTTTACTTTTTATCGTCCGCATTTTATTTTTCAAGGTCTGTAGTTGCTCTGTTGAGTATATCATGCACCAATCAGTTCATAACTAACAACATGAAGCCTCAGTAACAAAGGCTCGGTAGCCTCATACCCGCCACTTCAAAGTGTCCTCATTATTGTGAGGAATTAGTCGGAACATTTGAACTAATTGCCACTAATTGGCCGTAATAACTGTGTGCCAGAACAAGAAAAAAGTACTGATTTAGATGATTAAGAATGTCTTGCGAAATTCCGTAATTAAGGAATGCATAAGCAAGATTTACCTTGGATGCAGAAAGATGCTGTAATTTTAATTGCCTGCGATTATGCACCCGCACCGCGGCTATCATCCGAACAATTTATTGCAGCTGTAACATTTAGTCTTGGACTATAAGACAATATTGCTTCATTAAAGATTGGATTGGGTTGTTTTGGAATAGAATGGATTGAATTGTTTTGATATGTATATTGTGGGGGCTCCTTATATTGGACTAGTGGGCTGTAAATAGAGCGCAGATTATCCTGCAAGGACATGCAGGCAGCCGTGAAATATTCACAAGCCAGGAAAATAGCAGAACTGGTGATTCCCGTGACAAACTGGCAGTGATCTGTATGCCACTGCAGGCTACACACTCACGGCGCTGACCCTAGCTCCCGTTTGGCAGGTCTTTGCCTTTACTGCGCCATTCTTACTATGACAAACAAGCAAATATTATATCATGTAATTAAAAAAAAACAAAAAACATTTAGAATCACAGCGGAGTGAAGGAGATCACAGCGCAACGGCCAAGCGGGGTTGCCACCAGAAGACGCTGTGTTTCCTTAATTCCTGTAGGTGAGATGGTTTGAGTCTGCAGGCGCAGACTTCTGCGGCATCTGGCACCTGACGTTAGACCGCCCCACAAGACCTCTACATTATCAGCTGTTTTATCTGTTTAATGTGTGCACAGGCTCAAGGCATCACAGACTGTGTAAGTAGAAGTTACTGCATCGATTTTAATTCGCCTATTTGTTTTGTTCGGTGTAATTTTATAAATTCTTGGGATTTGTAACCTATACGTAAGATATTGATTTATAGCTAAAATAATCCTAAATAATAATAATAATAATAATGATAATGATAGTAACTATATATATATA